TATTGTGGTGATATTTTTCCACCACACATAATAGGACTCTCACACCCCTCTATATATATGTGCCTTACACACACACACACACACACACTTACATATATATATATATATATATATATATATATATATGTATAAATCATATATTCGGGAGGTAGGAGGCACATATATATTGTGGGGTGGGAGGTTCCTATGATGTTTGGTGGAATAAATCCCAACAATAGATTTGTTATTTCAAAGTACAAGTTCATTTTATAATGTTTTTTCTTTTTTTTTTTTTTAAATATTTGGTAACTTTTAGAAAAATTAGCTTCACATTTTGTCTTATCGTCTTTTGTTAGTAACTTCTCGTAAATTATTGTACCTTGAATTTAATTCATTTTTCAATTATTTTAATTGTCTTTTTGCTAGTAATATTTATTAACAATTATTAAAATTACATGGGTCTAGGCCCGGCCCACATCTTTATTACATTAAAATTATTAAAAATATTTCCAAAAATATATTAAAATTATGTTAAAATATAAAAATTGCTTTTTTTTTAAATAAAAATAATTAGGTCTGACCCAATTTAACATGGGTTATGGGTTAGGCCCAGCCCATGCGGCATGCCAAAATGGGCCTAGCCTGTTTGTGTAGTTTAAGCCCAAGCTAAAAAAGCCTGACCCAATTCAACGTGCGTTATTAGGCCTATAAAATTGCTTAATCAAATTTTTCGTGACCCGGAAAAACCCAACCCGATTAGAATCGTCCAACCCAACTCAACACAAGCTAAGATCAAGCAGCTTAGTCAGATTCGACCCAGATGGCATTAAGTGGCCCGACCCGACCCCATTAGGATCTATAACCTTGATTATGTTAAGTTTCATCCATAAGAAAACCTTTAACTATACATATATATATATATATATACATATATAAAAAGGCAGACATAAATAATATATTTACGAGTATGATCGTGGAAATTTTATTATCCTACGGACAATTGTATTTGCTCCCGGGAGGAGGAGTCAGGAGGATCGTTGATCACTGCAGGTGTACAGTGATGATGAGAAGATAAATCCACAGGATCATTACCTCCACCAACAGTAAAATTATTATTATTACTAATATTAATATTATTATTATTATTATTATTATAATTAACAATTCCTTTTTTCTTCCGCATCTTCTCTCTCACACCAGCATGCCATTGTTTTATTGCATTCGCTGTTTCTTCTTCTAAAACTGCCTTTTTAAAGCTCGATCCCATCTGTAAATAAATTAAATCACGTGCCCAATTTATTACTAATTAATTAATTAATTAATTAATTAAGCACAAAATCAAATAATATATGCATGTATGTATATATATATATATGTATATGTAATTGTATGGTAATTTAATTACCTGGGTCACAAGAGCATAGAGGGGAAGAGTTATGTAGCTGCAAATGACTTGCACTGTCACCCTAGAGAGATTATTTGCATTGAAAATTTTAATTATTAAATTAATAATTACTATATCGTATTACTGGTAATTATATATTTAATACGTTTTATATTATTTAATGATTAAAATTAATGCTTTACGCTAACACCACCCTGACGATGATGATTCCTTACGTTCTCGTGATAGCAAGAGTTTTATCCCAAATTGTAGCTGAAGAAGAATCACAACATCATAAAAAAATGATGAATATTTTATTTTTCAGAATGATAAATACATACGTACATACATCTATATATATATGTGTATATATTTTACTCACCGTGACCCAGATGAAGAAAGCAAGCTCAAATGAATTCTGAAAAGAAATTAATTAAAAATTTTATATATTTAGATTAATTAAATAATAATTAATGAGGAAGTAACTAGTAATAAGAGATTAACTGGTTAATTAATTAAGTGATTACCATAAACAAGGTGTAATGCAGGAGGATTAATACGTAATCGGGGTGATTAAACCAGAAGAGATTATCGTTTGGTTGAACTAAAGGAGTTCCTTTGATAACGTCGCTCTGGTTTTTGATTCGCAGAGCCATCTTAGCTACGATGACTTCTAGTTTGGTTCCCACAACTAGGGCGATCTTTAATCACAAAATAATTAGTTTATGGTAATTAATTAATTAAATTAATCAAACAATAATTATTTTTTTAAAAAAAGCAGAGCTCTAATTAGAAGAATTTAAGTTGATACTTACAATTAATGGGAGGAATGACACCCATAGATACACGTGCCAACCTTTATAATACATAACATATATCAGATTTCTTATTTATTTTAATATAATTAATTGGGTTGAAAAGATTACATATATATATATATATATATATATATATATATTACGCAAATATAATATATGCACTACTCAACTCACCATGAACATCGACGAGCAAGAAGATGACTACGATTAACCACATCACAGGGCTGCCCAAAAAATGCAACACTAATCAAATTATAATTTTAATGAAAATTAATTAATCAAGTTAGTATAAATGGTTAAACTTACAATATATATATATATATATAATTATTGATTTTTGTAATAAATTAAATATAATTAGAAAATCAAATTATTATTTTGATTATTATCAAAATAAAAATAAAAATAAAAATTACCCTATGCCAACTACAGCTTTGAAATCATCTTCCAATGATCGTTGTATGTATTTTTGGAAGTTGAATGTATTGTTGGTTGATAAATGAGCCTGCATAATTAATAAATATATACATATATATAATTAAATTCGAAATAATAAATTATTATTTAATAGTTTTCGTTCTTTATATTTTTAATTATTATTTTTTTTATTTGTTTAAACCACGCATAAATTATATATAAAAAATAAATATTTACTTTATAATAAAAAAAAAAATACCAACCGATATGAATCCATGGCGCAAAGTGAAGTAATCAACTTTCGCCACTGAATGCAGGAATTGACGGAAGAAACATTTCTGCGAGTGTTTAGATTTGTAAACAAATACGTGTTCCCATGCACGTGCACATGCACAAACACGAACACGAACATCTTATGTATATGTATATGTGTGTGTGTGTATATATATATGTGTGTATATTATAATATGTCTTCAATCGAAATTTTTTGAGAAAATGTAAGAAAAATTGTTAAGAGGAAAAGGAATTAAGAGAGAAACTTACAACCCATAAAAGAAGAGATGTTTGCATACAAGAATTCATGTGCCGGCGGCCAAATGTTGTTTGTCTGGTGAATCTAAATCTGTCGGGATCTAATTAAAGTTGGCAAAAAAAAAAAAACAATAATAATAATATTAATAATTATAAGTATAATTGAAAATTTGAAAAAAAAAAAAATCAAAATTTTGGAATTAAATATATATATATATATAAAAAACATATTAATGAGTATATTATATATATATATATAATTTAATTTCCATATATATAAAATGAAAACATTAGTATATTCTAACCATTTGCAGCTTGATATTCCACTGTTTGAGTTTCTTTTTCCCAGGCTTTCCATTTCTTCATCTATCAAAATACGGTGAGAAAAAAATTAGAATAAGAAAAAACAAAAATAATACAAAAAGCAGAATATATATATATATATGAAGTAATAATTATATATATATATATATATAATATAAGTAAGTAGAAGACCTTATAGTATAGCATTTTATATCTTTATATCTCTCCACATTAAGAAAGTCAACAATAGCATGCATAATATTTATATAAGAACATAAAAAGACACTATCTATACCTTACAAGACCCTATATTTAAATTCTATCGTATAATTTTTTAATCATTTTTAATAAAAATGTATGTATTTTATACACAATATTAACTTCATAAAGGTCGCGTACAAAACATGAAATCTAGAAAAAATAGGTGAAATAATTCATCATGGCATGTGGGTTATGTTTATATATATTCTCTGTGTGTGTGTACATATGTATATATAAATATATATATGTATGTATATGGATGATTATTGTTTATAAATACCTTGGCTCTTCCCAAGGCCATTGTAGCCACACTGTAAGCAACCTGCATAACTGCTAGCACAAAAATGAAGATGCTTAATTGATTGAGCCCTTGTTGTGACATAAAAGATGCCATTCCCTGTAACACGAGAAAACAATTACAAGCATTTAATTGCTAATCATATATAGAAGTATATATGTATATGCATATACGTATATAGAGACGTAATCAAGAATAATCATAATTAATTAACCTTGGTTTGACAATAATCAGGGGATTGAATGGACTCGTCAGATTCCAAAGTTCTTTCTTTGGTGTTTATACCACCTTCGCGACAAGGAAGCATTGAGTTTGCAAATTTGGTGGGTACGCAGATTTTCGAAATGCGTCTTTGAGTTAGTGTTAGAGTCAGAGACATAAAACCCAGTACCATTAACACTGCAAATCCAGCCACAGATCACAATTAGTTTCTTAATAACATTTAGTGTTTACTTAATTAAGTTTTAAACGGGAAACAAATCCCTACCTGATTTAAGCTTCTCCACAGCTTCAAACAAGGCTGCTTTCCTACGTTTCCTAAGCCACTGCATTAAGAGCTTAATTAGGCATCAAAACCATCCTCATAAACAATACTTAATTAATAAAATAATTGGAGTAGAACACCTATATTAATATCGTGATTATCACAATTAGACACTGTAAAGGATTTTGATCTCTTAGTTTCATGTTTCATATTCTAAGAGTCTTGTTCGAGCTGAATCAAGCCATGTCATCTTTTGACCCGGAAGTTAGAAAGTGAGGAATAGAATTAAAAGTATAGAATTAATATGATAACTTACACTGGAGAGGAGATGGATCAAGTGCTCTATAAAAAGAGAAATAGTAATGAAGAGAAAGCAAACTGTAGCCAAAGCCCAAGTAGGGGTCTCTTGAAGACTGCGAGTACTAAACGACACCGTTTCTCCTTCTTCTCCATCTGCCATGGTCGTTGGACCTCCAAGATAATTTGATCACAGCCGTTTGAAAGAAATAAGACCAGAAAAAAAAAAAAGAGAGAGAGAAGAAATCTGTCGTGGGTCATTATTTGTTTCTAAATAATTGAGGGTTTACTATTTAAATTCAGAAAAATAGAAGAAGAAGAAGAATAACAAAGAAATGTTCAACGTTGTTTGTTTCTCGAGAAAATAATAAGCCGGGAATTGAATGCTAATTGGACTTTTTACTTATTTTTTTTAAAAATAAAATTATTTTTTGTAGGCTATATTAATTATAAGTTGAAGATAATATGTATATATGTCGGAAAAGTTAAAATAAAGGGCCTGTATATAATTAATTCTGTACTAACTGTTAGGTTCTGTCACGTAGAAATTAATGAATTGTATTTTGGCTGGTGCAAAATTAATTGGTTAAGTTCTTATCCAGTGTTATTTACGATGACGTCATAAAAATTAGGAGTCACCAAACGTTGAAAAAAATATATATTTTTTACACAACACTAAGTTAATTTTACTCCTCAAATAAAACCCTAATATATATATATAGTAAATGGGTAATATTCTTGCAAGTGTCATATACGGAAAGAAAGTTTTGACTCGATGATGGTTGACTTCCAAGTCAGATCATACGGTTGACTTTATCTACGATCTAAGAGTAAGACCTAATTTCGTAGCAACTTTGCGAATGTATTTTTTTTTTAATTAAATTGATAAATATAAAATACTTTTAGCAATAATTAAAATTTTGATAAATTTAAAATTTAAAAAAAAATAAAATGCGGTAGTTTTTAATTGCTTGAACTCAAAATTTATAACATTTAAATTTTAGTTTTTATCAAAAAATTTATAAATTATTTTTTAAAACAAATTTTAATTTTTTTAAAAAAAAAAATTATAAAATTTCAAAAGTCAACGTTCGTGGCTGATTCATGCGGGGATATCCGATTATGAATCTAGGGAAGGTATATATCCTTCTTTTTATATTATGTATTTGCAAAGCGAATTTTGAATTTTTAAATTTTTTTGTATCGAATGAAACATAAAGATTATATATAGATTACTTCGTTAAATAAAATTAATTATTTTTTTTATAAAGTACGTATATTTATGGATTCCTTAAACTGAGATAAGAATAATTATTATATTAATTATATTATGTTATAATAATATATATATATATGTGTATTATGATAGTTATAATCGTCCGGCCTAGCCCATTAACCCATAAGATTGGGTTAGAACTGGGCTTTCCGGGCCTAATAGAACTGGGTCGGGGTAGCCCGTGGGCCAATTTAATTACTTATTATAATCATGTTTAATATTTTTTATTTTTTGAAATAATTAATTATTTTATTCATAAATTTATTTTTAAAATTTTTATGGGCTTAGTCTTCGGCATGAATTTAGACTCGGGCTGAGCTCGGGTCGGGGCCGGACAAAGTCAAACTGTTCTAGCTATTGCTGACCTAGTCTATCCATCAGTCCGCGAGCCCGACATAATTTGGGCTCGTTTGTGTCACAGCACAGCAGGGCATTTGGTCTAGTGGTATGATTCTCGCTTAGGGTGCGAGAGGTCCCGAGTTCAATTCTCGGAATGCCCCCATCTTCCAAGGGCAATTTTTTGGGTTTTAATGGTGTACCAAGAAGTTTTTTGAGTACATAAATAAAATCAAAGTAACAATATTAATATACCATAAAATTTGAAAATAATTAATACATATTTACATACTATCAAATAAATTACATTATAATATATTTTTAAAATATTGTATTATTATTAGTGTACGTAAGAAATTTTTGTACACATTTTTCTTTATTTGAAGACCGGCGTCACTGAAAATCATTTTCGAATTAAATGCTGCAAATTAATTTTGTTTTCATTCATTCATGCCCTGTACAGTACAAAGTCATGTGATGGCCAAAAAGTGTATGTACACAATTAAAATTTATTGGGAATAAATTGCCAGCTGGTTACTGAAAATTGAAATGATAAGGAAAAGGTGTTCCTTTTTTGGAAAATTAAATTTATTTTAGAACATCGAATTAATTAATTTAACGAATTAAACCTTATAACGAGTTAGTTGAATTTTTACGTAATATTTAATATGCAAAATTTTATATAAAATGTTTTGTGACATTTGACGTAAAATTTTATATAATTAAAACATACTTATGTGCTCAGCTTATTTTCAAGTTGTAAGTCTACTGATATAAGATGTTACGTGATATTTAAAATTAAATTATTTTTTTTACGTTACACTATAATTAAAATTTTATTATTATAAAAAAATACTTCAAAATATAGCATGCGCATAGTGAAGTTTAGCGTATGAAATTTTCGAAAAGATACATTCATTAACCTTATATTAATATGTGTTTGTTTGTACCTAATATATGTGTGTGCGTGTGTATGTGTATTTATAATGGAGAAAGTATTTGATGGTTTCTAAAATTTTATTATCTAGAGTTTTACGTTCCTTACACAGTAAATTAGAGTGTCCGATAGAATTACTATAATGCTCATTTTAAAAAAATTAAAATAACATAAACAAAAATGAAATTAAAATCATATGGGTTAACCTCCACTGACAACTTTGACGAGGTATGAGAGGTAACATTTACTCGCAACCCTACTGCTGTTTAAAATTTGGATCTCAGTTTTCTTGAAATGAAATGATTAAAAAAATAAATGAACTATACTATATCAGTAAGAATATCACACTAATCACTGATATAAAAAATCAAAATTTGATAAAAATTATAAAGTAACTAATGAAGCTATTGATTTAAGTAAATTTATTTAAAATAAAACTGGTTATTTTGTACTTACAGTTATAAGTTCCCAAAAATCGACATATAAAAATAATAACTCATATAACATTATAATTTAATCTCCAAGTCAACGAGATTAACAATTTACTTTTTCACCTGCTTACCGGTACCTCTAGGGATCTATAGGGATGTCTCCTTATGCATGACCCTAATATCTAAATTTGTTAATTAACCAGTCGTCCCCATACTCCGTCCAGTAATTGACGTCAAACATACCATCACTTCAATATTTTGTCCGGTATGAGGATGAACCATATCTCCCAAACCCTTATGGTATAGGACTTTTCAGGCTCATTCTACTGAGGTAATGTTCACAATAGGGTTTTTTTGTTTATGTACTGGGTTCGTCCACAATTTTTCAGAATACCCCATAAACTTCTCATACATAGATTCACATTATAAATCAATTCCTAATTACGTATCAATATCTCATATTTACAATCAATAATAAGATATGCAAAGAGATAGTATATAAATTAAGCTAACATAATCGAGACACTTATTGCAAAACGAACCACAAATGAAGCTATGTAGTTAGGTAAACCAAATAATAGAGAAATCAATTAAAACTAACAATTTACGCACACATATATAGTAAGCAGTTCAGACAGT